GTATATATAGTATATATATATATATATATATATATATATATATATAAACACACACACACACACACACACTATATATTATTTATTTATTAAGGACAAAGCTTAAAATGGACTTTAAGAAAAGGGAGCAAGATCTGAGTCCACTTTCAAGGCCAAGGACAGTGTGAATGCAAAATTAACTGGGTTCTTTTTCACTAAGTTAACTTTATAATCCATTTACAGCTCTTTCAAAAGGCACTCAAGTATTTAAATGCCCTAAGCAGGGCAATGCATGTAATACAGCATACAGGCAATGTTATGGCACAAAGTGAATGAGCTTTATTATGAATTCAATCCTTGTTCACGCTCACTTCATCTGATACCTTATTTACGTGTGCCCATTCATAAATACATAAAGACATGTAAAAATCTCTTCAGCATAGTGAAACCTTAAGACGACCAAGCAATGAGACATTAAAGAGCAGATTAAATAAAAATGTTCTCCTCCTTCTAAAGGAAAACAGATGAATGAAGTAAACTGAATTCAGTGCCGTATGTGAGCTTTGTGTTTCTGGTACACATCATCTTTATACCTCTTATTCCGCAAAGCACGTTTATTTTTAACTGCACCTAGCGTTGCAGTGCACATGTGGAACAGCGTGCGCATGTGCAGACAGACACACACACACACACACTCACATGCTCCCCAACAGAGTTGACTGCAGGCAGGTATGGGGATAATGTCAATGAATCACATGCTTTCCAAAGCAAGCAGACTGGAATCAGGGCCGTCGTCATGGCAACAGGCTTGGGACCAAACTGTGGGAAGTGGGAACGTAAACACACAGTCTCCGTGGTAACCCTTTCCTTTCTGGGGTCTAAAAAGCATCAACCTCATTGTTCTTGAAGGTAATATTAGTGATATCTGCATGGGTAAAAACACTACTTTTTGTAATTAACTTCACTGTACAGAAACAGGAAGAGTAAATGACAACTTCCTGCAACTGCCCTATTCACTTTTGCCCTTACGTTGACCTTTTTTTTCCCGAATGCTCTCTCTAAGCATCACGTGCATCTGCAAGCAAACCCATGCGTTTAAGTGTATGGAAGCGTGCATACACATAAGCATGCGCAAACACTGCAGACTATTCCCGTGCCGTGCTGCAGTATGCATGCTTGCCAGGCAAATCTGCCAACCACAAGCGCACACACATACACGTGTTGCAATCAAATTCCCTATGAATCAATACCAACTCCCAAACGCGACAGCTGCAGTTCAGTCAATGCCAGCTCCAAATCCGAACACACCTTGCTCAAACGTATTTTATAAAACATGCACACACATCGCTCCTGCTAACATGCATCCTCCTCTCCATCAAATGCAGGACAGCGGTCACGCTAACCGCAATAACGAAAAGCATAATAATGAAAGAATTCATTGTGTTGGTCCTTTAACTGCTCTGTGCTACTGTAAACCTCCATAAACAAAGTCCATATCGTTTTGCCCATGGTTTCAGACAAAAAACTGAAAATGAATTGCATACTTGGATGGTCAAAGGCAGATGCGAAGGACACCGTCTATTCAATGAAAACAAAAAGATGTGTTCTTGTGTTCAAACACCTATACAGAGAAGAACAAAAGGCAGGGGTCTCAAGAAAAGTTGGACTATTTTTAACCTGACAAGTCATCTGCAACTTGTGGTGCTCATGGCAGGATGCTCAGAAAAACAGCAAACAAATGACGCAACACAATGTCCATGGATGTCCATCTGTATGTGTCTTTAAAAAACATTTAAAAAGACAAGAGTTTTACAGTGTAAACTAACAGCACACTATAAAATACTAAATAACGGCACACTAACTTACAAAAAAAGGGTAAAATGAGTGTGAAAAAAAGTCCTATTAGTTGACTAGTCATTTGTTGGATGACTAGATGACTACAATCGACCACTGCATTTACATTTATTATTTTAGCAATCATTTTGGTCCAATGAATACAACAAAGTGATTCATGATAAGGAGGCAATAACATGAGAATTGATAAAAATACAAAGTTTCAAATGTTATTTAGGAGTACTGGTTAGAACAGGGAGGGAAATAAGAAACAGTGAAAGCATTGAGTTTTTTTTAAAGGTCCCATGGCATGAAAATGTCACTTTATGAGGTTTTTTAACATTAATATGAGTTCCCCTAGCCTGCCTATGGTCCCCCAGTGGCTAGAAATGGCGATAGGTGTAAACCGAGCCCTGGGTATCCTGCTTCTCCTTTGAGAAAATGAAAGCTCAGATGGCCCAATCCGGAATCTTCCCTTTATGTCGTCATACGGGGAAAGGTTACCTCCCCTTTCTCTGCTTTGCCCGCCCAGAGAATTTGGCCCGCCCATGAGAAAATAAGCTACTACCGTGCGAGGTGAGCGCAATATTTTTTTTTCCTCGAGAGACATCATGGCTTGCAAACGAGCGAAGCATGGCAGTTGCCCCGCCTCTCTCCTCCTCATTAGCATTTAAAGCTACAGACACAGAAATGGCACGTCCTAAGGAAAGCTCATTGTGGGACTGGCTCGTAGTGGCTGAAATTCTGCACCAAGGCTGAATTTCGGGAAAGAGACTTCAGATACAGTACTAGGGACCACTTAGGCCTATATAAAAGCATCTAAAAAGCAGCATGTCATGGGCCCTTTAAAGTGGTAACATCAACAAGATTCAGTCAAGAGCTTTTTTGTGATCCATCTCTATTACACATTAGCAATTAATAGCATCTTCATGAGGTGCAACCTGGGATGCTTTTAAACAAAATAAAAAGGAGTTCACATGTATGATGGACACTTAACTGCTTTTCTTTAACTATCCACTCCAACTCATCCATTATAAATGCATTTACTTTTTTACACTACCGTTCAAAAGTTTGGGGTTTGTAAGATTTTATGTTTTTGAAAGAAGTCTCATATGCTCATCAAGGCTGTATTTACTTGATCAAAAATATATTAAAAACTATGAAATATTATTACAATTCAAAATAAGCATGTTCTATTTTAATATATTTTAAAATGTAATTTATTCCTGTGATGCAAACAAAACTGAATTTTCAGCATCATTACGCCAGTCTTCAGTGTCACATGATCTTTCAGAAATCATTCTAATATGCTGATTTGCTGCTCAAGAAATATTTCTTATTATTATCAATGTTGAAAACAGCTGTGCTTGATATTTTCAGGGAAACCATGATAGAATTCTTTCTTCAAAAACAAATCTTACCTACTCCAAACTTTGAACGGTAGTGCACATCCATTAATAAAATAGTTTTACTTAGTTTTATAAATAAATTCCTATATAGGCAAGCCTCCTTTGACTTGTTAATCACTTTATCAACCTGCAGTGATCTCAAATTGCTCAAACTCAAATAACTGTTTAAGCTGGTGTGAATCCCTGCTGGTTCTTCAGAAAGGCCTGACAATGAAGCTCTCAGGGTGCTTAGGAAGTGCCCTTTGAATCACTGGTCTTGTGGCGCAGGAATGAATAACTAAATTGGCCTAGTTTGATTTTGACACCACCAAAATTCAAATCCAAATGCAGATCAGATCATTTGAATGACAGTGACACGAAACAACCAGAAGAGCGTCTGAGTGTGAAAGCACTTCTTTGGCCTTTCTTAACTTTTAATGTCTCATTCTTTTTAAGTAATCAATAATCTGCTGGTGTCTCCAACATGCTTCTCTCTCAAATGCGGACCACAAAAAGGTGGTCATACTGTTGAAGCAACAAACACATGAATCCCAATGTAAGAAAAAGTTTTATCCCATCCAAGTTTACTGCTCCATTGCTGCACTGACTACTGACACACAACCATTCTTCACTTCAAGAAATCCCAGTGCAGAGTCTAGATCCGCTGCGCCTGACAGCAGACCAAAAGCCTCCCTGATCCGGCTGACAATCCGACAGATTCACAGAAGTGTCCTCGAGTGGTTTTGCACAAAGGTGAGAAATGCTGTACATTTCTTGAAACCAGGGAAGACTTACTACAACACACCACGTCTAACATTGACATTTATTTACTGTACAGCAATAGTGATCGAGGAGGAAGCACGAGAGACAGAAGGAGTTTGAGTGATGCTGACATTGATTTATGTTCAGTCTAACTGCTGCATGATCACAACGCTGGCTGGGATTTATTCACAACTCATAAATGTCACAACTGATCCTTTGTACTAATTACTATGGTCTCAAAAGTGTGAAAAAAGACAGGCACACAGGAATACATAGATATGCCTGATGCATGATAAAAGGGAATTCATAAAAATGTTTAAAATACTGTATTGTGGATTATTTTGGTGCACCAGTAAATTTTCATCAAGGGAACTCTTAATTCTTAACTAACTAAAATTTACCACACAGACAAATTCACATTAAGGCATATTTAAATACTGATTTCATGCTCCAATGCATTGAACTCTACAGACTGAAGCATACTGCGGTAATGTTCAACTTTGACCTCATTTTCCCCTGACGTTTCGAAGCAGAGCCAATGATTGCTAGACAATTAGCATGATTAGGTGGGTGTTGCCAGCCTGAAAATCAAATCAAGCTGGAAAAGAAATTGCATCGAGATGTACAAAAGCATATCATGCAAACTGCAGTGAATATCTTTCTACACAATGCTACACCTCACACCTTCTTTACAAGTACTTCTGTTGGATTTTTTAGAAAATTGCTAGGGAATTTCATTGATTCCTAATCAAACATTAACAAAGCAAAACATTTAACAAAGTTAGACATTATCATCATCTCTACATCCTCATCTAGAAGTATGAGGTGTGTATGGAGGTCAAGTAACTGAATTTTCTGAGTACTAATCAGACGTGCTCTGCACTTACTTAGCTCTGTTTAACATACTTTATGTGTGTTTAATGAAAACCGTGGAAATGATTTTAAACAGTAAAAGCATGATAGCTTGTCTTTAAGACCTGAGAATTATGCATGTAACTTTCTCCGATCTTAAGAAAAAACACACTACTTGACACAGATATAGAAATATAATTTTTGCTAATGTAACTATATCTTAATGTTGCATTCAATTATTTTTACTGCCAATTTGCAGGACACAGAACAACATTTAGATTCAAGTGTAAATGCCAATATTAAGAGGATTATTTAACGTTCATCTGTAAAATAATGAAATATTCATACATATCCAAAAATCCTACAGAAAAACTGTGAACAACATTAAATGTTTAGGAGTTGCCAGAAAGCATTAGATATGAGTTTATTATAATTCAGTTTATGCCATAAGATCTAGCTTAGCTAAGTGTACCTCACTCTTCCTGAGTGTTTTAGCAGTTTTCTAAGAATCTGAGTTGGAATTGTTTTGCAAAGCTGTTTTTATAAATTAAAAACAATATTAACTTGTGATCATCCTCTGAGATGTTAAAAGCATAAATTGCTAAATGTGACCCTGGAGCACAAAACCAGTCTTAAGTCGCTGGGGTATATTTGTAGCAATAGCCAAAAATACATTGTATGGGCCAAAATTATTGATTTTTCTTTTATGCCAAAAATCATTAGGACATTAAGTAAAGATCATGTTCCATGAAAATATTTTGTAAATTTCCTACTGTAAATATATCAAAACTTAATTTTTGATTAGTAATATGCATTGCTAAGAACTTCATTTGGACAACTTTAAACACGATTTTCTCAATATTTTGATTTTTTTGCACCCTCAGATTCCAGATTTTCAAATAGTTGTATCTCAGCCAAATATTGTCCTATCATAACAAACCATACATCAATGGAAAGCTTATTTATTCAGCTTTGAGATGGTGTAATTTTCTCAATTTCAAAAAATGTACCCTTATGACTGGTTTTGTGGTCCATGGTCACAAATACAGATATAAAAAGAAGAGTGTCTACAAAGCATAAAAAAAAAATGTCTTTTTTTTTTTTTTTAAATGGTAATCAATAAAAAGTGGAAACGCTTGTGAAAATAAGTTTTCAGTATGACAGTTTGACATCATTATGCATTAGAGCACTGAAGTAGTAAGTGATTAAAAAAATCATACTATCCTGCAATGAATCCAGCTGGTCAGTGGATATATTTTTGAGATGCATGTTAATACCAGGTCTTGAGTGACCACTTGTGACTAGATCACCCAAAACGAGAGTTGATACCAAATGTACACTGAGCCAATAATTAATTGCAGAGGTATATGCTGAAGCTGTAATATAAGAGGCACAGATGGTGCACATTAATTGGACATGAAGCAGTAATGTTGACTACATGCCAATGTCACTGTATTGCCAAAATGATAAATTGAAACTTCTTGCAACTTTGTGTGCAGAGTTTACGCTGGGTTTAAGTCATACCGTGTAGGTGCTGCAGACAGCACATTCGTACCACATGCCAACAGATATTATACTCAACATTTTAGCATTTACCTGTAGGACAGCAATCATTGCACCAGCCAGACTGCGCCGGCAGTACCTACTCTTCTAGAGAGCATCTGACTCAGAGAAGGAGTAACTGAGGTGCTGTGGCCAGTTTATTCAAACAGATACTCAAAACAGATGTTCAGCTTCCTGGTTGTTGACCGTCATAATAAAAACTCTCAATTCTTCTTGAAATGAAGAAGGAGGTTCTGAATCTACCTCCAATGTTTTCAATGATATCTTTCATTTGATGCTTTCTTAAAAAATCACAGCTATTTATTAGCTTAGGCTGTGAAGAAATGATCTGCCTTGAATCATCAAATCAAGTCAAAAGTCACCAGTAATTTTGACTGAGTATCCAAGTTTATAAAATAGACAGTTACAACAACAAATTCTGATTGGATGAGCAACATTCAAAGGCATATAAAATGCAGATATGCGCACAGGTGCACATTCTATATAACACGGCAAGCTGCATGGAAACTATAAACATGCTGCAGCCAACAGAACTGTTTATTTAACAACACACCTTACCCATGCTACAATCACTAAAATCATGCCAGTGCAACGCCTTTCATGACTTTTGCTTGAATTATTCAAGTCAAAAGTCATCAAAAGTCATTTCAGATTCAAATTTTGAAAAAAAAAAACAAAACAAAAAAAACATTGAATTAAAGATTAAAAATATGCATTACCTATGAAAAAGGTAAACAAAAGGACACTAGGACATTGTCTTGGCCCTGGTCAAAATATGAAAAAGGACTGAAAAACCCACAAAATCGTTTTAATATATCGATTGTTTCTCATATGTAAGAAACTCAAAGGAGTGCAAACAAATGTCTTCTATTGAAAAAACATACTACTGTAATCCCACATGTGTCTCCTCTAGAGTTTCAGAAGAGATTTCAACAACACAACTCTCAACTCTCAACACAACTGTTCATATTTACCAATCAAAATTTTAAAAATTCATTATGAACTCAACATTTCTCTTCAATTTCTTCTGACCAGATAATCTTAGCTATGCTATCCACGTTACTTTTATTGCTCTATATACTTTCTATATGACAACAATTTTCTTATTTGTTTCTATTTTTACTAGGACTTGCAGGAGACACAAAGTTGATATTGCAATACAACATAGCTGAGAACTCAATTAAATCTCCTGGACTGTGAAAAAACAACCAAAACGATCTTTTGGGAGGAAATAAAAGCAATGTTATCAAAGAAATTTCAAAAGCTTTCTGAATATTTTGCATGCAACTTGAATCCTAATCTCAAACCTAAGTATTGCACTTACGGAAAGTTAGCATCAGGGTAAGTTTAACTACCTAAGAAGCTCAGAACAACACTTTAAATATTAAAGACAAAATGTAGGCTAAATAAGGTTAAGAATCTTTCTGAAGTACAGCTATAGTGCAAGGACTAAAACTTATGCTAATTTTGCAATGACGATGAAAGTGTGAGAGACGGTGTGAGAGAAACAGAGAGGGAGTGTCTGACAGAAACACATGTGATACACCGACCTGCTTGTCCTTCTTTTGTATTTTCATTTTTTCTTGATCTTTGTGTCTGCGTCTGGAATACAGAGATACAAGGAATCATGAATATAGAAATGATGCAAAGCGTAAAAAAAAAAAAAAAACGTTTTAAAAATTATTTGAAAAATAAAAGCATTTAGAATGTGGTCAATTCAGAATGCACAACAAAACTTAAAAGGAAAATCAAACTAATATCTCATTATTGCATTCTTGACCATTAAATAAATAAACACAAATGAATAAATAGTCGAAAAAAATGTTGACTTTTTTTCATATTATGAATAAGTGCATATTATGACGAAGACTGCTGCAGACAATATTATTTAAGATGTCAGATCAATAAATAATATAAAACATATATATTCAACACTATAGCTATACATAACAATTGTTCAAGGTCATTTTATATTGCTTTGGGGTAAAACTATAATTAATAATTCAGCTTTAACATAACCAGCTTAAAACAATCTCCACCCGTCACCAAGAATTAATAACAGATTATGAGCACTTAAACTTTTCTCCACTTTTGCAACCTATTTAATTGACGTCAATCTTCTAATGGGTTTAATTGAAATAATTTGTAATAGTTTGAAACATTCACTAAAACCAAGGCCATTAGACACTAACTAACCCATTCCTTAAGTTGCTCTACTTAAAGTTAAAAAGGTGTCAATCTACCTGTGGTGCACTGTCATTGAATTAAAAATAAAAACATTAAAATCTTACAGTAATGCAACATTATAAGAGACATAAATCTGTAATAACCACAGAATTAAATTATACTGACTATTAACTAACCCATTGCTTGAGGTAAGACAGCTGTCAATTTACCTGTGATGGACTGTAATTATATTAAAAAGAAAAGAATTTGACAAACAACATTACAAGTGGCATAAATCCATAATATTACATCATTTTCACCATAAACTAGGTAAGACCCTTGATACTAACTAACCCATTGCTTTATTCAAGACACATTGTGTCATTCTACTGGTCATGCAATTTATAAAAAATTTTAATTGTATAAAAAAAAAAAAAAAGCATAACGTTTTGACAAGAATGCAACATCAATGGTGATATAAATCCATATGAACACATACATTTCAAAAGGTTTACTTTATAAACCAAATGGGCCCCTTGATACTAACTAACCCATTCCTTGACTTAAGACAGGTGTCAATCTACCTGTGGTGTCATTGAATTAAAAATAAAACCATTAAGTTGTGACAGTAATGCAACATTATTTGTGATATTATCTATAATAAATCACAGAAATGCATCATAAACCAGGTGGGACCCCAAATACTAACTAACCTATTGCATTAAGTAATTCAGATGTGAAATTACCTGTTATGCATTATTATTGTATAAAAAAGAAAGGCATAAAGTGTTAACACTAATGTAACATCATTAGATATATAAATACATATAAGCACATTAATTTCAAAAGGGCTACGTTATAAACCAGCTGGGCCCCTTGACACCAACTAACCCATTACTGGAGTTAAGACAGGTGTCAATATAGCATTGAGGCATTTTCATTGTATAAAAAAAGAAAAAGCATAAATTTGTTACAGTAATACTTTCTTATTAGTGACAAAAATCAATAAAATAACAAGTTAATTTCAACAGGGATATAGCACAAACCAGGAGTGGATGTAAACCACATGAGCGCTAGAAGTTACATTGTTCCTAGTAGTTGATAGCAGTCATGGGATGCTTTGTGCCTCAACAGATGCCAAACTTGCCTCATAAAACACTCTTATAAAAAGCCTAACATCGTGTCCCATATACATTAGCCCCTGTAGGGCGCTAGCCAGCGTGCTAACTGTAATGTCACGGCAACGGTGCTCTATATTTCAGGCGTTACACGCGTGAAGAGCCGCTCAAACTCCGCGGAGGGACCGTCAAACGCGACCTCACCTACCTGGACACGCCGGCTCCGGACATCAGTTAGCGTAAAAACCTACGTGTTCCTCTCTCCGCATTTATTTCCAAGGACACTAAACGCCATGACAGTTTAGAAAAATGCATAAAAAAATTAGAGGGGGTGGGAGTCGGAGAAGGGAAAAAAAAAACTCAAGCAATTTCTTTAATCCTAACGCACAAGAGCAGTTCATTCATGAGGGGATGCGAGAGTTTGACGCGTCCGCGCACCACCTACTCCATGCGGTTTTGCGCCCGACGCGTTAAAATTAAAAAGTTTAAAGATGTGCTTACCTAAAATGGCTACTGCGGCAGCCAAAATACAAACAGCTATTATTTGGTGAAGTTTAGCGCTGGCCGCCTGCAACAACAGCCTAACTTGCGTTTAGGCCCGTATTCTGCCGTTCGCCATTGGACGCGTCTGAGCGCAGCTGGGCCGCTGGATGTTCCTATTGGCCAGCGAGCTGTCACGCAAGCGACGCTGCGCTAAGCTTGTCTGAGAGACACATATCGCCAGCGACCATTGTGTACTTTTAGCCTCTTGTGTGGATGTGGATGTTTTTGCTGTAGTCCAAGAGGTTTTTGTCTAGTTCAGTTCTTCACAGATGACCGAAAGCACGCGCTGGATTCATTCGCGTTTGTCGCGTCCGGAGTGCAAAAGCTACGCTGTGGGGTTTTATGGTTCTTCTCGCCGCATCCACCAATCGTGATGCTTTTTTACTCCATCATTACGGCGCCTGTGAGAGAGGAGAGAAAAAAATGTAACATTCCACGTCTTTGCTCATGTTTCATATCCCGGATGTGAGAATAGCAGGGGTTATAATAAAGCGTGTGGGTGAAGCTACATATGTCCTTGTGATATGTTGGGTTCCCTGAAGCTCTTTTGTGTAATGCGAAGCTGTGTTTGACTCGTACATAAATTCACGTTGTGCATCAAACAGTCTAGGATATGCCATTGCTGTAAATTGGGCGTACTTGGCTTGCACTAAAAAAAGTACCATGGTACCATTGTTTAGACATGACACCATGGTCATTCGTCATGGACTACTTTAGGTACATGTGCAGTAGCAAGACTATGGTATCATATGGTACTTCTATATACCATGGTAGCTTTGTAATAACGTGAAACACTGTACAAAACCCTGTTAGTACCATGGTGCTTCTTGATACCTTTTTGTACGTGATGGTAAAACCACTGTACCTTATTTTGTAAGGAATAACAAAAATGCCAGTTTTAAATACAAAAAAGTTTTGAATACTTCTTTAAAAAGTGACAGTAAAGACATTTGTTACAAAAGATTTCGATTTAAAAACAAATGCTGTTCCTATTCATCCTGAAAAACATGTATCACGGTTTCTACAAAAATATTAAGCATCAAAACATTGAAGAAATGTTTCTAGAGCAGCAAATCAGCATATTAGAATGATTTCTGAATGATCGTGTGACACTGAAGACTGGAGTAATGATGCTGAAAATTCAGCTGCGCATCACAGGAATAGATATATTTTAAAATATATTCAAATAGAAAACGTGTTTTAAATTCTAATAATATTTCTCAGTGTTACAGTTTTTACTTTAATTTGATCAAATAAACTGGTAAGCAAAAGAGACTTAAAGAAAAGACTTAAAAAAAAAATTGAAATATCTAACGTATATTTGTTTGCACTTTTTGCATGTAATAGAACATTTTACCTTCAGTCTAGCCTCCTATTAAGTTTTTACATGTCAAAAACATACCAGTACTAAAAATCACATGGGTTTTCTCTTAAAGGTGAGGGGATGTTGACTTGGAGTCAATCCAGTAGTTTATGAGCGTTAAACCTACTGGCTCAAACTGAGTGCTGTCAAAATATAACGTTATTCCAGATAAATCCCCATTTCATATACATCACCATGGCATGTTTACAATTTCAAAAGTTTGCAACTTTGTAAAACTTTCCAGAAGATGACTGAATTTGGCATATTCCTCTAAAGGTTTTTTTGGCAGTCGTTTTGGCTTGTAATCATGTTCTTACATGTGGACTGCTGAGCCAAACAACCTTATTTATAAAACTCCTTCAGGAGCACACTGAAGCAATTGTTAATTCATAATTAATTTTCTGAACTTTTTTTTTTTTTTACATGCAATTGACATTTTATACTTGGCAGATGCATACTACAGAATGTGCATAACTCATATCACGACTATTGCAAAGCAAGTAGCTCAAAATAGAAGCTATTTTTGTCATAAATGAAGTGCACTTGCTAAATGAGTAAATGTATTGGAAAGTGCATAATGCTACAGAGCACACTGTGTGAATACTACATCACAATCTTAACCTCTTAGCCTCTTTCTTGACTCATATTATCAGACTACAATATATATATATATATATATATATATATATCAGACATTTTTTACACTAAATGGGATTAAAAATAAAAGATAGACTGAATAAAAAGAATGCAAAGAAATTCACATGCTATTTCTAAACAATTGTATGTAGCTTACTGCATAAAACACAGCATGCAATAGTCAAGGACTATCCATCTGAAGCAACCTGGGGTTAAGTGTCTCGTTCAAGGCGGCAGAAATGATGTTCATGGCTCACAGAATCAAAGCCCAGCATTTTATCTCTAAAACAATACACTATCTCCTATAAAAGAATCCTTCACTTTCACTGACTCAAATGCACATGAGCTTAGATGTAGGTTTGTAATATCAGGGACAAATATAGGGAATACCTCTGTTGAGTCTGTTTTTAAGGGTTGCTGTTGATTCAGTGCTGCAGTGAGAGGATGTTCAATTAGTTACACTGAAAAAAACTGCTAAACTTCACGATTAATTACAAAGAAGCGACAAGCAACACATTGAATTAAATGTGAAATTTTGAAGTAGAAAGATTGAAATAGCTTTTTTGAAATAGATTTGTAAAAATGTATTTAAATAATCCCATTTTTTGGTTTTATATTATAGAGTTATATGGGTGTGTGTGTGTGTGTGTGTGTGTGTGTGAACCTGGAGAACTGACGTCATCCACTAAAAATCACCAAAACACCAGCTGTCATAGAGAAAACATGACAAAGAAAAGTTAATGAAGAGAAAAGATCCTGCAGTATTTGGGTGCAAAGGGTATTTTTTTATGTGACTTAAGGGTCCAAAATACTTTTGAGGCCAGATGAAGCTCTGTTCATGTTTATATGCATATTTTTACAGTGGTAAAGAGGTTGAGAATGTGAAGGTAAGAAGACATACATGAAGGAAATCATCAGGGCATCTGTTTAGGAGCACATAACAAATCCCTAAAGCTCCCTGCCTCTCCTTTTCTCCCCTTCTGCTCCTTCATTGGCTCTGAGCCCAGAGTGTCTCTGGCAGGAGTTTAAGAAGTTCATTGCTTCAAGAATATTCAAACAATAAACAGTCCTACAGTTCATCTAGCCATGCTACAAACTACATTTTTCTCTTTCTTTCTTTGTGCTCTCAAGCCTAAACCTCATATTCAACCACTTTAAAAGAGCTGAAACCAGACACAGGTGTGACAGTGATGTAAAACCAGCAGGGGGCAGATGTGGCATAATTTTTTAGCAAGAAGAGTTAGTTGTCAAACATTTACTCCAGTGAATATTTCTCAAGGCAGGTTTTTAAAGTCACTTTCTATAAACAATCCTTAAGGTCTTGACTGCTTAAAAAACGGAATATTTCCACCATTACTGTCTAGGGGGAAAATATACAGTTAATTGAACTCACACCTTAAGGCAGAGAGACATGAGGCAAGGGAAGCATGACACTAACATCAGGAAACAATTACAAAATAAAAGACATGGACATGAACATGAAACAAAAACAAAACCCAAACCCCACATTACAGTAAGATTTTATTTTCTTTATTAAATTAATATTCAACAGTGTTGCATCAAAAGTGACAGTAAAGACATTTATAATGTCTTTACAAAATATTTCTGTTTCAAATAAATGCTGTTCTTTTTAACTTTCTGTTCATCAAAGAATCCTAAAAAATGTATCACAGTTTATATAAAGCACGAAAAATTTCAAATTACCAACCCCAAACGTTTGAACGATGATGTAAAGCATATGTGACAACTTGCCCCAATATCAATATGACACTTGTATTACATACACTTTTTTTAAAGTAACATTTCAAAAATATGATCTTGAATTTTAGTTTGGAGGACGGAATTCACAAAATTTACAACAAACTACTTGCCAGTATGCAGACCCCATTGCCCCATAAAAAGGAATTATTCCTCTTTCAACACCAGACTGTTTTTGAAAATATGTGGAAAGCAGTATAGTTTAATTCAGATGAGCCATTGGGGGTCTTGGCCAAGTGTCTTACAAGCATATTCACAGGATATTTAATGGACTTGTACAGTTTGCACCGAAACAGTTCCACGTTTTTCAATCATTCCACGCTGCCAAATGTGTCAAGCAGCCAAGAAAATATGGAAGAATTCTGAATTTACAGCTTAGATGTGTTTCCTGCCTGGTGTGACAGAGGAGAGAAATGACAAGGGAGTGTGTGAGAGACTCCAGTGAACCAAAATGGGAGGAGAAAAGGAGGGAGAGAGAGAGAGAGAGAGAGAGAGAGAGAGAGAGAGAGAAGTTAAAGCTGATGAGGGAGCATTGTGAGACCGGCTCAGTACTGGATAGAAAAGAAAGCTAGTCACATTCGATGCATTCAGTCACTTTCCTTTTTGCTCTGTACAAGCAGCTTCTCAGAATCAGGTGTCATTTCTGGCTGCTGGAGGAATACACGCTATCAGGAGTCAACAGACATCACACACACACGCATGCACACCACTGCAGAGATGAGCACAAATGTGCGTTCGCTTAGTTGTCAGACGTAACCCGGCTCTGGACGAGCTCTGAACCAGGTAGGATGAACTACTTTAACTACAGATGTTTCTGCATGTGCAGTTTGAACTGCTTTGTTTTCACTCTTCAGCCAGAAAGAACAGTTGTTTTTCACTGAAAAGCCAAAAACTTACAGTGTTTTTAAGAATAAAACAAAAAGTAGACTGCTAAAACGTAATGATGTGTGTTAATTCGTGCATATTTACTAACTTACTAACATTTTTACTATTACATATCATGTGTTTGGTGCTGTACTCTTTGGCCAAC